GGAGCTGCAAGCCATTGCAGCCACACGATTCACCGGTGGGCATTTCGCACTACTTTTTACTATTATCGTGGCATTTCGTGTTTATTACCGAGGCAACATTACGCGGATGTATTTTACTCGGGTATTGTGCACTTGGTCCCTATTGGGCATTGTAATCCTTGTCGAGTCGAACGAGTTCTCTTCAAATGACCCACCCAACGATTGACCATTCCTTCGGTTTACTGTGAGTGTGAGTTCCATCACCTGCACTTAGGGAGAAGGTGGGCCTGCTAGCTGAGAGAATCCATTATCGGTTTGGCTGGGAGAAGGTGGGCCTGGTAGGAAGGACCAAGGGCCATCTAGACCGACAACCATCGCTGGCTTCCTTTTTGCTGCTTTCGCTAGCTAATGCTTGGCCAGATCTCTTGCTTCTCCTCTTCCTTCTCCTCTTCCTCCTCTTCCCTCTCCTCTTCCTCCTCTTCCTCCTCTTCCTCCTCCCTACTGCATTTCTCTGCGAATTGGTCAAAGTGAGCACTAGAAACCTTGCGAGAGAAATATCTTCCTAGTCAGGAGTAAAATCGTGCGCATCAGCATGAAGGCTCCAAATCCAAGTAGTTGTGTGCTTTGTCTTCGCTGACGTCAACACGTTTTCAATTTTTCATTCGTCGACGAGACTTAGGTAGAATTTACGTATTCATGCGTGTCATCCTTGCGCAGGGGCCATGCTACTCTATTTTCTCTGTATCGTTCCAGTATTAGCGGATGTCCCTAAGGACGGGTAGAATATTTTCAGGCTTTCCTTTTTTCTTTTCGAGGAGATACAGATAGATAGATACATAGATAGATAGACAGATAGATAGACAGATAGATAGATACATACAGAGAGAGAGAGAGAGAGAGAGAGAGAGAGAGAGAGAGAGAGAGGAATCAGTGTAACAACTGACTAGTGGACAATTTTTATTTATTTTTACTTTTTTTTTGCGTTTTCCTTTCCGCGTTTTGATTCAATTCCTCGTTAATTATTGTATTAACATCATATACAGCCAACAGCATGTTATCGGTGTCTGCCAGATCCTCGTCCTCCCCCTTCCCCTCCCCCTCCCACTCTCCATCATCGTCTTCATCGTCTTCCAATTTATCGACCATGGCGATGGACATCAAGGCAATCAATGTCTCTCTCGCGCGAGTTGCATCCCTCGTCGCCATCGCTCTTTTCCTTCGGATGGCTTTCTCCATATCTCCGTCTTTCTCTCCATCGTCTTCATCCATATCTCCGTCTCTGTCCCCATCGTTTCCCTCTTCACCTTCTTCGTCCCGATCATCGTCTTCGTCATCGCCATCGCTAGAGAAAAATGCAGAGAACGACGATGCAACGACGACATCTGCTATCCTTCTTGCAGGAAGATCTCCGCCTTCTTCATCGCCATCCTCTTCCTTCCTCTCTAGCGATGGCGGCGCAACGCAGACCTTGTTGCCAAAGGCGTCCGGACTGAATCTGCCTTCGACAATCAATCATAACGACCAGGTGGCAGCTGAACAAAAAGACGGGGAAGAGATTAGCTATGGCTATGAAGTCGAGAGAGTGCGCCTAAGGACACGGCCACGTGGCAAGCACGGGTGCAATCGGGATCTGGACGCCATTCTCAAGCTCATCAAGCCGTCGCCGATCTACGGCCCCGACGTTCCGCGGCTCAGATTGCGGGTCAGGTAATTAGTAATTTCGCCTTCATTCCGCCAATCTCTGCTTTTTTTTTTGTGCTTTTGGCCAGATCTCTGGTCCTTTTCTTCGTCCTTCAATGCCCACCCTCTCCCTCGCCTCCCCCTCCATTCAACATGCCATTATAGGTAAGCCTACATTCGCCCCCGCCTCCCCCTCTTCCCCCTCCTCCCCCTCCTCCCCCCCCTCGTCCTCCGCTTCCTCCTCTTCTACCTATCCCAACTCCTACTACGACCAGACTACTGCTGACTCTCCCACTGCTATGGGCGTTACTACTACTACTACTACTACGACGACGACGACGACGACGACGACTGCGAGTAGTAATGCTTTTACTATTAGATGGGCAAAAAGGGAGCCAGGGACGTGAAAACATAACAAAAGGGATTTTTTCCCCTTTTGACAGCAGCATGCCACACCAGAATTTTGAAGGTTGAGCATCCCATTGTCATGGTGATATCATAACCCTGTCGTTGTCTTCCTCTCCTTTGTTCTCCTCCTTACGTCCCATCTGGAACGGGTTACTCGACGTCTACTCTCACTGATGTCCACTTCTGCTCTCTCTCTCTCTCTCTCTCTCTCTCTCTCTCTCTCTCTCTCTCTCTCTGTGTGTGTGTCTCTCTGTCTCTCTCTCTCTCTCGATCATAACTTTGTGACGATATCTCTCTCTGTGTCTATAGATCATAACTTTGTGACGATATATATATATATATATATATACCTATCTGTTTCTGTTTGTCTGTTTGTGTGTGTGTTTGTGTGCCCCGCTCGGTATATGTATGTCGTATGTCCTGCATGTACGGCGGAGATGCTGGGGAAACAGAGGGGGGGTATTTGCTTTTGCGGGCGTTCGTTCCCCTCAGGAGGCCGTCTTGATTCGTCACGTTTCTGCACTTTGACTCACAAGTCGTGAAACGCAACCGGGAAGCTTGGCATTGCTGACCAGAGCATGATCCACCATAGCCGGAAAGCACGATTCACCACAGCCGGAAAGCGCGATCCGCCATAGCCGGAAAGCTCGTTTCCGCGCGGAATGGCTATTCGTAGGAGAGAAGCAAGGAATGACCGTAGGTAATCAAGTCCGTGCTGCATCCACTATCTTCAGTTTTTGTTGGGAAAGAAAATAGCATAAAACAATGAGATGATGAATGCAGTAAACGAACGGCGCCGCACTGACTGGTTCACGGTCGTGCAAGGAGCGCTGCGCGCCAGCGCTGGCCAGACAGCTCGAGCTGGACCTTGTACGAATCAAGGCCAGCCGTTGGCTTCAGCGGGGAGTGAGGGCCTACCGTAGTTGCAGTACTCTCCATGCGCCAAGATTTTGAGTCCATCTGGACAGACAGTATGTCCAGATGCATTTAGAATCTTGGCACATGGCTAGTGCAACTACCGGTAGGCCCTGAAAGGTCGTCGCTGCAATACTCTCCGAGTCTCGAAGGTATCTTCGCGTAATGTGGAAATATACACGCGCAATTGTCTTGGCCTTTCCACATTTGTCGAGTGGTGTAGGAAGGCTTGTCGATTGGTGTAGCAAGGCCTTACGGGTCATCGCAATAAAAGAAATAAAAGAAAGAGAGCAAGTGGCCTACCAAGCAGCCCAGTTGGTTAGGCACACAACTGGCATCCACGGGCAGCCTGGGGCATGCTTGGTGATAACCAACTGAGATCGTTGCTCTTCCTGGTCCGTATTGGTAGGGTCTTTAGGGAGCATGGGTGTGTGTGTGTCTGTGGTGTGTGGGACTGTGTTGGCCTTAGACACTGCTGTTACTGGATGGGGGAGGGGGAAGTGGATGGGAGGCGTGGCTACAGGCTAAATGCTCGGTCTTTGCGTGTAGGCGGCCCCCACACTGGCGGCCCCACACTGGCGGCCCCACCCTGCTCCCTGACCGTAGGGTGGGGGGCAACATTCATCCTCTTGATTGTGAGATGTAGCTATGCTTTGCAGTGGTCCCCTGTCTTCGGACCAGTAGGTCGAGCGGCAGTGGTCGCCATGCCGTGCCTCTAGTGCCAGCGGCGTGTCTGGAGTGTACATGTATATGCCTCTTTGCCTTTTGGCTGTGTGCAAGTGGGTTGAGGGTGGGGGCAGCCGCCCCTCAACCTACATCCACGTGGGCGGCCTTGTACGCAAGAGGTTCTGAACAGGGGGAGTTATAAGGAAGAAGGTAAAAAACTGAATTCATTTTTTCCTGTTTTTCTTTTTTCTTTCTTTCTTTTTTTTGCATTTGCGCTCTGATATTCTTGTGACAACTCTCGTGTGACACCTGTCGGGACAGAGACGCGGTGCGCCTTGGCTGTGGAATGCATCATCTATGCCATAGCCATTATCAATCTATTGCGACTGCCGCCGTCTGTCCTGAAGGGTGTCCAACATTTCCTCATTGTACACATCCCTATCACCCAGATATACGTTGTCCCTATTGTGCCCAAGGACGCTATCAGAACTGTATGATGCCGCACTGTGATGAATGTCCTGCCGTGTTTTTGACATGTGGACAACACGTCCTCTGTCAGGACTGTTTTGATGGGATGGTTCGTGCTAGCCGTCCTGCAGAATGCTGTCCTGGCGCAGCTCTCCTTGGGCATCCTTGTGAACATCCACATCATCCTCACCGTAGCTGTCCTATCTGCCGAGGTGGGGGCAGGTAAAGAGAAAAAGAGATAAAAAGAAAAAAAGAAAAAAGAAAGAAAAAAAGAAAAAAAGAAAAAAGATATGTTGATCTGTGGGATGTGTTATTTGCTTTGCGATAATTGGATTATCTTTCTTTCCCTATCTTTCTTTCCCTGTCAGGTTTGGTTATCTTTCTTTCCCTGTCAGGTTTGGTTTCCTCCTCCCCTTCT